GTGGAAGGAGCAGCTCGGTGACGCTCTCCCCCCGCCGCCGCCCCGAGATGCGCGGGGTCAGGTTACAACCAGTTCCACCACTTCGCTCCAGGGCTCCACCGAGCTCGTTAACCTTCCCGTTCCTAGGAGGATCTGGCTAAGAAGGAGCGGGGGTGTTCGCATATCGCGGGAGGGAAGGGGGCACTGGGGAAAACCCACATAGCACGATAAAAATCTCGGGGTACCTTGTTATTCCTGCGATTTGCTAAATGACATTCATAGCCCCATCTACATTTCTACAGGCTAATCTTTCTGCTAGAGTTTTTTGAAGAGCTATTCGAAGATGAAATCCTCTGGAATTCCCTCATCTCTCTCATGACCAAACCTCTGACCAGGACAGTGATCCTCACTTACCTTTGAGAAGAACTGCAACGGATCCCACAGTTAACAGAACACCAACTCTTGGAGCCAGATAGGCTTTCTGGCCTTGTCTGAAGTCAGCAAGAGTGTCAGCTTCTTCATATGCAAGCGGATACACACTCTCCTTGTTGGGCTTGCATAGAAGTGGCAAAGTGCTGCCTGCTGCCAAACAACTGCCATCTCTGACAAACTGCATGGGCTGGGATTTCCATTTCACCCCTGCTCAAAAGGGGAAGGACAGCAAGGAAGAAAGAACCAGGGGGTTTAGGGATCCTGGTTTTATTTTATTTCTTTGAAGAGCAGGGCTTCTTTTTTTTTTTAAAAAAAAAAGAAAATAAAGATTCTGGAGTGTGGTTTTCAGACCTGATGGCATCTTACAGCTGTCTTTTGTTGTGAGGAAGTTAGTCACAAGCCTGAGACACCAGCTAGAACTGTCTGACAGAGTAGTTGTTAGAAAGTCTAGCATGATCTAAATATACTCCACAACATTTCAGAGAACTACCCCCAGACAACAGTATCACAACACACCCCAGGCTTGTTGTCATCTCCAAGGTGAGGAACCGATATAAGCCACCCATGGCCACTTGGGCCACAAAAGAGAAGATCTGCTGGTGAGGAGAGTGGAGGGAGAAGACGAGTAAAAGCTGTAGCAAAAAGCAGGGGGTAGATCCCTGGGGAAAGCCTCAGTGACTCTGTTGCTGATGAACTGGAATAGAAGCAGCTAACGCAGAGCAGCTACCTTCCCAGGCAATAACTGCAATCCCACATTTTCTCTTGCCTCTGCCTGCCAATCTGAAGGACAAGCCAGTGATCTAGCATAAGCAAAATCCATCAGGATACTCCTGCCATTTTATTGCTGTTGGCAGTCTGCTGCCTTAGACAACATCCCACTTAGCTGGTGCCTGGAGCCAGTCTCCTAGAGCACCACTCTTGGGTAGCTAAACCCCACCTTCCCCTCCAGAGACACCCTACCCTCTGTATGTGGAGCCGGTGGAACTGGTCGGCGATGCACTGTAGCTTCCGCGCGATCTGCACCTCAGCACGCGCTTCCCGCTGACCTTCCCGAGGCTCCTCTTGGAGGCGCGGATCCAACGCGAAGCCAACTGGAGGGACGTGTAAACGGTAACCAGCATGGCCTACAAAACAGACATCAGAGGGGTCATTCTTCCAGCGCAAAGAATAGCTACTCGGCGTGCTTCACAGAGGAATAGAGCTGCACGTAATCCTGAGACTTTGACTCATGTTAAAGTCCAGTTGCTGAAGCCCAAAGAATGACTGTGTACCATAAGCATGCAGTAAAACATTTGCTCAGATTTTAAGTAGATTTATATCGATTAAGCAGAGCACTGTGTTGCTTCCCATAATCAAATGACTGGCAGGATCTTAGACTTGGTTCCTTTCGCTTCTTTAGAGTTCAGCCAAGTCCTGATTTATTTATTTTTTATGACAATTTTGCAGTTTTACAAGACCTCTGCTTCAAGTTGACTCCCATTAAAGGTTGTTGTATCTTTTCTGTCAGACTATTCTCAGTTCCCTGGCATTTAGTGGGACTGATCTGAATAAAAGCTGAATCAGATACACAAAGCTGAGTGGTGTCCCATCAGTTACTAGTAAAAATACTGGATGGACATGCTACTTACTCAACAACTTTAACTCCAGTAAAGAGCCTAAAAGCTGTCTCACTAAGTGTAAATTTTTTATTTCCCTCTCTCCATGGAAAACTTCTGAGAGCCTTCCTAGGATGAGACCACTAGAAGTTAAAAAATGTATGCAAACCATAGGATATGAGGCATGGTGAGCACTTAAGCATCTAGCAGTAAAATAAAACACGACAGAATAAAGAAAAAAAGAAGTAGAGTGGGAGTATCAAGGACAGCGGAAGCAATGATCACTCCCTGGAGTGGACAAGCAAGGGTAAGAAAAATCAAGCTGTCTCTCCTGAGGGAGTAGGTCCAAAGCAAAATAATTTCAGTCCTTTAATAAAAGGCACTAATGAAAGAAACCTTGCATGACTGGGGAAGTGCTAAAGGGACAGTTTCCTTGCTGCAAAGCTGGTGACACCGGAGTGCTCTTACCATAGAAGAGTCTCCGGGGCTCTTCAGTGACTCCACAAGGCAACATAACATCCTGACTGGAAGAGGACGGGCTGAGTGTTTGAGTTGCCTTGTCCTGCTGCTCAGGATGCCTGATACCGGGACCACAGCAGTGTGTGAGGGGGAATAGTTGAAACCTCCCCAGAAGGCAGCTGTAGGACTGGTTCTGTGTGAAAATGCCAGTTGCAGTCATTTCACCAGGCTGACCTGCAAGTCCAAAGTCATCAGAGTGAAACACGTCATCGTCCAGCCCATCCAGGCTAGAATAGTCCTCTTCCAGGTAGCTGGGGCGATCCATTGCTCCTGCAATAAAGGGACATTTAAGAAAAGAGCTAAGACATAATAACATTGTCCAGAAGAGAATGCCTTCTGCTCCAAAAGCAAAACACAGCTCTTCACTCCACGCCTGCCTGCCCGCCTCCCTCCCTCCCAGTGCTGCCCATCTGCACAGGCAGGAGAGGCGAGTAACTCAGTGGTGAAGGTCAGGGCTTTGTGGAAAGTCCTAGAGTACTGGGCCAGATGGAGACAAAGTTCACACGTGTCTACGAGTCCACCCACGGCTCCAGTTCCACAACTTGCCACAAGGAGAGAGCCAACCCCCAACCTCAGCCCGTAGAAACTAAAAATGGATTGTTTTAAAAAGCAACTCCAGTCCTTCAAATCACCCTTTACCAGTCAGCTTCTTTGGGGTCTGCTCTGCTTTGGCTTTCCATGTTTGAACTTTATGGCATGCCCCATTCACTTTTTTCCCATCTGTTACTTATTGATGAAGAAAAGCTGTCGTAATCACAAGGCTGCAAGGCCAGACTTTTAAGAAACCCCAATAGCTGCAAAACTTGAGAGCTGACAAAGTCATTTCTTTGGAGCTGTCTGTAACTTCTCCCTAAAAGGGCCAACTTTCCCTTCAACTTCTTGTTTCTTCCCTCAGCTCAACACGTCCCAAACTTGGCAGCGTAATCACTTCATTACCCCTCTTACCCTCAAGCCTACATGCACTGTCAGTGCATTTGTTCCTCCTACTACTAAATAAAAAGCCATTGCTGGTGTCAGTGCTTAAAACAAGACTTCTGTAGCCACCACAGTAAATAGACTCATAGAACACACTAGGTTGGAAGAGACCTTTAAATGTCATCTAGTCCAACCTGCAATATACTCCTGAGCTCTGTTGCAGCACAAAGTTGGGCAAGAATGGGGTAAAAGCCCCATAATAAACCCTACATCACTATTTCAGAGCTCTTTGCAAACACGTAGTAATTAGAAGCAGATTTACCAAAAAAGACACAAGTCCCTTTACTGTTACCTGTGTATCTAACCCAACTGGAAGACAGTCTCCTAAGAGATCCATCTCTAGGATTTCCACCCAGTTCCAAACAAGGCAGTGAAATTCAACTCTTCATGTCTCTTCCTTTGCTCTGGTTTGCGAAGCATTTAACAGAACGGAAGACTAGCAAGAGGAATTTCAGGCCTGAAGGAGACATTAATAATAATTTTATAAAGATGTGCTCAGCGCTCCCCTTGGTGCTCCCATCTCCCCCCAGGTGAGCAGCGCTCAAAACACAAACATGCCACAGGAGGCAAAGGCATGGCGCAAGCACAAGAACCATTTGTCCAGGGCTCTAACTCGGGGGCATTACAGTTTTTTAAGTTGCAGCACCCCAGTGGTTCACTCAGCCCAGCCACAACTCCCAGAGAAGAGTTTGCAGAGCAGAGCAGGTACCAGCCCCACAGCTGAACGGTGACAGCAGAGCTGCCTTGGCACAGCACTCACAACATCCTCTTCCATGGCTCAAAGCAGCACACCAGAAGGAGTTACAGGCCCTGGGATTCAGGCACGGATGATGTCCTGCCAGCCCTGCTGTCGGATCAGCCATCACCTGACAGAAAGTCAGGGCGATAACGTGTTTTGTCTTTGCAGGAAGATTTTCCAGATCTCATCCCTCAGAGCCCCACGGGGACACGGGCATCCAGTGTGAGAAAGTGCAACAAAGGCATAAAGCCAGCCGGCAGCCCAAAGCCCGAACAAAAGAGGGCTTAGAGAGCAAGAAGTTTTACTCGACCTCCTGCAATGTGCTCCGACTGTTTTGCAGAGCTCCTGGGGAAC